AAAAAGTAGCTGAGCCTGGTGGTGTGCACCTGGAGTTCCAGCTACTGAGCAGGCTGAGGCAGGAGAATTGCTTGAACCCAGGAAGCGGAGGTTGCAGTGAGCTGAGATCGCACCACTGCATTCCAGCCTGGCAACAGATTGAGACTCTGGCTCACAAAAGAGAAAAGAGGTCTCACTTTTGCCACCCGGGCTGGTGCAATCATAGCTTAAGTACCAAATCCTGGGCTCTCAACATCAGCATCCCAACTAGCTGGGACTATAGGCGAGTGCCCACCACCACACTCATTAAACTTGTTCATTTTTGGTAGAGATGGGGGGGGGGTCTCAACATCTTGCCCAAGCTGGTCTCGAACTCCTAGGCTCAGGTGATCCTCCAGTCTCAGCCTCCCAAAGTGTTGGGATTATAGATCTGTGCTACCTCACCTGGCCAAAAAGAACTTTTATCTGAGGAATGAGAGTCCTCTTAAATTATCAGGCCGAGATGGCTGGGCATACTATTGGCATTTGAGACCTTCCTGGGCAATAGTGCCAGACCCTGTCTCTATAAAAAAATAAAAATAGGCTGGGCATGGTGGCTCACATCTGTAGTTCCAGCACTTTGGGAAGCCGAGGCGGGCAGATCATCTGAGATTGGCAGTTCAAGACCAGCCTGACCAACACAGAGAAACCCTGTACTAAAAATACAAAATTAGCCAGGCATGGTGGCACATACCTGTGATCTCGGCTGAGGCAGGAGAATCGCATGAACCCGGGAGGCGGAGGTTGCAGTGAGCGGAGATCATGCCATTTGCACTCCAGCTTGGGCAACAAGAGCGAAACTCCATCTCAAAAAAAAAAAAAAAGCCAGGCATAGTGGTGTGCTCCTGTAGTGCTAGGATCTCACCATTGCACTTCAGCCTGAGCCACAGAACAAAACCCTGCCTCTAAAAGAAAAAATAAATAAAAATAAATATGCCCAGCAAAGCATTAAGATGACAGATTCAGCCAGGCTTGGTGGCTCATGCCTGTAATCCCAGCACTTTGGGAGGCTGAGGTGGGCAGAAGGTCAGGAATTCAAGAACAGCCTGGCCATCTGGTGAAACCCCATCTCTACTAAAACTACAAAAAATAGCTGGGTGTAGTGATGCCTACATGCAATCCCAGCTATTTGGGAGGCTGAGGCAGGAGAATCACTTGAACCTGGAAGGCAGAGGTTGCAGTGAGCCAAGATCGTGTCACTGCCCTCTAACTGGGGCAACAGAATGAGACTCGGTCGCAAAAAAAAAAAAAAAAAAAATTAAGAAAGAAAATAAAATGACAGAATCACATCTTACGTGTCCCTCCTTTGAGCTATGTATTCATCTCTTGACATGCTTGCTATTGCCACAAGTAGCTATAAATTAACCTAATAATGTTGTACTGGACACTGTAACATACACCCTGTAGTTTAACAATGTATGCATTATTAAGCCAATTAATAGTTTGTTATTTTAATGTAAATTCTTGGTAAATAACTCAGGAACTGCCTCTTCTTTCCCTATGAATATCCACTTGTAACGGCTGCTAATCAGAGTGTCTATTCAGGGCAGCTTGAATCTATGCTCCTGGGTTACAGTCCTCAAGCGTATAATAAACTCTCTACTTGTATTCATTTTCCCTCAGCTGCTTCCTTATAGGTTGACAGGAGATTTGGGGGCTGTCATTCTGGCTGATGTCCTTAGTCCCATGACATTTCCTCTTTGCCTTCATCTTGCCCCATGGCAACTGCCAGCAAGTCAGCAGCCACAATTTCACCTACTTGCCATAGTCCAGTCTCAGAGGGAAGGACCACCCCATTTCTGTGTCCCTCAAATTTGAAGAGTAGTTCTTGCCATATAACTGCTATCTACTTTCTCACCATACCACACCTCTCCCCACCCACCCCCAGCACCTACAACAGTAACCAGTGCTTAGTAAACCTATGATGAATATTTGTGGAATGAATGAGATAGGGCCCTGCCCTCACCAATTTTACATTCTGTTTGGAGAACCAGACAATAACAAACTCACAATTTGTGGTAAGGCCTATGAAGGGAAGAAACTGACCAACTGCAACAAGGAGGAGCTATTTCAGATGGACAAATAGGAAGGAGTAATTGAGGTGAGTAGCGATGGTGGCTTGGTCCAGGAAACAGCATCAGAGACAAAAAGAGGTGGTGTACCTTTGGTGGTAGAATTGGTGATTCATTAAATGGGGGTGGAGGGAGAATGAGGGAGAGGAAGAAATGCAGACTGCTAATTTTTTTTT